ANNNANNNATTTATGATTCTAGTTCATAGAAGTATAAAACATATGCAGCTCTGTTTAATTTGATGATTCTATTTTTTCTCAAGAATATGTAGCTCTGTTTTATTAGTCAGTAGACTTAGTACTCAGTATGGAACATATAAGACGATTATTAGTGGAAATCTCCCACACTTTGATAGTATTGACTATGATAGCTAAATTCAATTGGATGAGACCGATTTACTTTGAAGATTATGACTTTAGGTTGTTTGTATGAACTAATATATTAAATGTTTTTTAGATTTAGTGTCCAAGTTTATGATTTAAGACTATTTCAATTATTTGTTTACTTGCATGGTTATATATATTATTATTATTTTTGGTATTAAAAGTGAACTGCTCGAATAGCTTACGCAATGCGCTACGCTATTTACGCTACGCAATATAAGGACCAAAATGAGACGCGATGCGCGATGCGCATTTTAAAACACTCGAATTACCTATGGGGTTCATACTCAACATGCTTCTCTTAGAGTCTGGTCGATTGTCTCAATCTCACTGTTAAAAAAATTTCGTTTCCTTTTACTCACAGGTAAAGCAAGGACCATCAAATGTCGAGCTATCTGTGGAGGAAATATGCACTATACGTGACCACCAAGTGGGAGAGGACCCTTCTGTGGGACATGATCGAGCCCTACAGGCGGCCTAAGTCTTTTATGCCTCTTGTCACCATTTATATCTGTGCTTTTTACACAGGGGTCATTGGTGCTGCAATCACTGAGCAACTCTACAAGGTGAAGCTGCAGCTTTTTGTCCGATTTTTCAGAAAAAAATTAGAACTTGATATTTACTTGGATATATTACTGGCTTTACTATCTAAACTTCGAATTTCTAATTATGTATGCTTCTACAGTTCATAAAGGGTTTTGCTTGTGTAGTAAGGAATATTTGAGAATTTTTGAATCTTTTTAGGATGTTGTGCTTTCGTCATTATTAGAATGTTGGAAATTAGACTGGCATACTGTCATTTTGTATGCATTGTCTTGCGAATGACGCTTTTCTTGATTTATGTTGGCAAAGTTTTATGTTTCATTACTATGTTTGGTATTTGTTACGTAAGTAGTATTAAGGCATAATTACTCCATACCACTACAAGTTTACCGAGAACCCATAATGATTGGCTGATCAGCACAAAGTGCATGAGTAATATCATGGTTGATCAGAAAAGCCTTTCTCTTAATTCATCCAGCATTGACAAAAGCTGAGAGTTTCTTGTGTAGTAAATAAATATGTTCTGCAACTCGTTTTACTAGCTGATATGTTTTAGTTATTTCCTTCTGTCTGCCTTGGTTTTTATTCAGGAGAAATATTGGGAAGATCACCCTGGACATGAAGTTCCAATAATGAAGCCAATGTTTTATAGTGGGCCCTGGCGTATTATGAGAGGTGAAGTTCCTCGTTATTTGGAGGAGCCGCCAAAGTAGACGCCATCGTTATTTGGAGGAGCCGCCAAAGCAGACGCCATCGTAGCCTTTTTTGTGTGCTTGTGAAATGAGGGATTTTGTTAATGTTGAACGAACAATGTACTCCTTGGTTTAATTGTAATGTTATTCATGATCTGTATCCTATTTGTGCTCATCAACGTCGAGCAAGTTGAGGATAGCACATTGATCAATGTTCATATTTTCACACAAATTGAATTGTCTTTCGGATTTCAATGATTTTGAGAGGATGAACTTATTTATTAGGGTGGCGAAGCCTCTAACATGGCTCTCTGTTCTTGTATTTTCTACTCGTTCGCAGTTAACTTGGCTCAATCACCACCTTGACAAGATATGGCCTTATGTCGACGAGGGTGGCACTTGGCACCTTAAACTCTCCTGATGTCATCATGATTGTTATTTCCTTTTTGCACTTCGGTTTTTCTTCTTTTGGGACTTGTTTCTGTTGTTAGGCAGCATCAGAGGCTATAAGAAGCTCTGTAGAACCAATTCTTAAGCAATACCGTCCAGCAATTTTGGCATCTCTAAAGTTCTCTAAGTTGACTCTTGGTACTGTGCCACCTCAGTTCACAGGTTGGTTCAGTTCCTTCTTCTTTGCCTAGCAAAAGTCTGCTTCCTTGTCCTGCTTTTCCAGAAAGAATAGCTTAGATGGGTTGGATAAGAAAATGGTGAACTAGGATGTCATGTGGAGATATTTACTCTCCAGTTGTGTAATCTGTGTTATTTTTGTGGACGGAATCATATAATCATGATAATCCACTGCATTTTTTATTTTTATGTTAAGAGTTTTGCAAATGATGCTATCCAACTTAAGCAATGGGTCCTAAGGGAGCTTACAATTCATTTATCTTTATTCTGGTCTCTCTCTCTTTAAGGAGTTTCCATCATCGAGGGTGAATCTGACGAGATAATTATGGAATTGGACTTGCAGTGGGATGGAAATCCTAAAATTGTACTTGATATAAAGACTAGACTTGGTGTAACTCTACCAATACAGGTATTAGCAAACTTTTACCAGGAACATTACGGTGCTGTCGCTTTATCCTGTTTCTGATTTCTGTTGACGTGGAAGAAGAGAAACTTATCTATCCACACATTTTTTCCTCACTCGATGTCCCTTCACAACTCAAGGACTAGATCTATTTCTAAATGTTTTCTCTGCCTGCAGGTAAAAAATATTGGATTTACTGGGGTTTTTAGGATAATATTCAAACCATTAGTTGACGAGTTTCCCTGTTTTGGAGCTCTTTGTTATTCATTGAGAGAGAAGGTACATGTCATGTTCACTGTTTGATAAACATGGTGTCCGAACTGATGGTGTCTTGAGTTTCTAGGTGTGTGTTAACAAGTGTTTGAAAATGGGCTCTCATATTGCAACGTTTTCCAACTGGAATGCACAATATTTTCATAGTAACTTCATTTGAGTTTCACATATCATGTTTTTGCCTGCAGAAAAATCTCGACTTTAGCCTCAAAGTGATTGGCGGTGATATATCAGCAATTCCAGGAGTATCTGATGCTCTTGAGGTCTGTTAATTTTCTCATTATGACTCGCCATGTGGTGTATTCGAACTTGATAGGATTGATGAGAATGTCATTGATTTATCTTGTCTTTCACTCGTAGGAAACAATACGAGATGCTATTGAAGATTCTATCACTTGGCCAGTACGTAAAATCATACCCATATTACCAGGAGATTACAGGTTAACTATCTCTTTGCCCTGTAGTCAAACTAACAGCATGTCATTGCTCGAATTATGTGAACTTAGAAGAGTTTTTTGGTATCTCTTACTTGTTACAGTTACCTAGAGTTAAAGCCAGTGGGGACTTTGAATGTGAAGCTCATTGAAGCAAAGGAATTAACAAATAAGGACATAATTGGAAAATCTGATCCATTTGCCGAGCTATTCGTCCGTCCCCTACGTGACCGGATAAAAACTAGCAAAACAATAGTAAAGAACCTCTGTCTTTTATGTGCTTTATTATATCATACTTTTCAGTTATTAGTAGAACTGCACATTATATGTCGCAGAACAATCAAACAAGTCCAATCTGGAACGAGCACTTTGAGTTTGTTGTGGAGGATGTAACCACCCAACATTTGACCATAAGAGTTTATGATGATGAAGGAATTCAAGCTTCTGAACTAATTAGTTGTGCTCAATTACCACTAGGCGAGCTTGAGGCTGGTAAAGTTAAAGATGTGTGGTTGAAACTGGTGAAGGATCTTGAGATCCAGAAAGACCAGAAAAACCGTGGTCAGGTGAGATGACCAAACTTATATCCCCACTCAGTTTCTTAAATTTATGTCTTTTTTTTTAAAAAAAATGACTAGAAGTAATGAAATAAAATTACATTATGAAGTGTACATATTATCAGTGTACATTATCACGATATGCTTTTCTTTGTTTTAGAATTATGCATTTATTACTAAAAGCATGTTATGAAGTGTGTAGTATCTTCTCTTGTTATCAGTTTTTTATTGAGCATCTGTTGAAAGTTGTGCATATTACCTGGTTTGATTTACTGATTTACACCTATCTTTGATTTATTGTAGGTGCACTTGGAGCTCCTGTACTGCCCTCTGAATGCTGAGAGCGAATTTTTAAATCCTTTTTACCCTGACTTCAGATTAACGACGGTGGAGAAGGCCTTCAAAGAAGCACTTGATGGGGCAGATTCCCTAAATCAACGAGAGTAAAAAGGGATGTTATTATTAGAGGAGTTCTATCAGTGACGGTCATATCTGCAGAGAACTTGCCAGCTAAAGATATCTTGGGAAAATCTGATCCTTTTGTGGTGCTAAGAATGAAGAAGTCTGAACAGACCTACAAGACTAGGGTAAGTATATTAATTAATCTTCTAAGATGATCAAATTGTGTAAATCCAACTGATTCGCTCTAATATATAAATCCTTCTGTTGGCTTTATCTCTAAATGCCCTTTTATCAGGTCCTCAACGATACCTTGAATCCAGTTTGGAATCAGACCTTCGATTTTGTAGTTGAGGATGGGTTACACGAGTTGCTAATCCTTGAAGTTTATGACCATGACACATTTGGGAAGGTGAAACAAAAAAAAAAAGAAGTTGTGAAGTTAGTTAATATTTCTCGTGCTTCATTTTAAAATTTCCTCGCCTCTCACTCATGTATTTTCAGGAGAAAATGGGTAGATGCATCATGACTCTGACGAGAGCCATATTGGAGGGAGAATTTACAATTAGTTTCCTTAATGATGGTACCGATTCAGGAAGGTTGAATTTGAGCATCAAGTGGACTCGACAACAATCAGTCGAGATTGATCGAGGTCTGATCTAGTCAGCAAGAGACTACTTCCCATGCTTATGTTCTTCCTGATGCTCAAAGTAAGAGTGACGATGAAAAGGCCCATCGCTGGTTAAGTTGGCCGAGAACAAAACAACAAAAAAATATGTCTTGTTATCATGTAGATATTATATATATGTATGTGTGCATGCAAGTATATAGGGGAATGTTGCAATATATGCTGGTGTGGATGATGAGAAGAGTGGAGTTGTGTGAAATGGAACTTAATTTTGATATAAACATGAATTCATTTTAAGTTGTCTAATTAAGAGGGGAATTGATGGCTATTCTTGTTAACAAGTCAAACAATTGAAACAACAATGCCATCTGCTTGAAATGTTGTGTTGCATACAGAGAGGTTAAATCCATGGTTGTAGATTAGTAGATTTCTTATATCTCTTCCTTTGTAATAGATTTCTTTTATCTCTTCCTCTACAAAGAACTCAATCAATCCATGAATATGATTTTGATGAAAATTTGATAATTAGCTTTATGCCCAGTGAACCTGATTATAGAAGTCCATTTACTTTGCATACAAGATCCACCCACCATAGCCTTTTGAATTGAAACAGGCACAAAGTACTATCTACACATAATTTTCAAAGTACAAATACATGAAGAAATATCTGGGATTAACAATAATCTGGATTAAGAAGGGACCATGCATGAGTTTGAAACTTGAAAACTATTTCTTCATGTTATGCTCACGACCTTCCGACAATTTTTTATTAGCTTTACTATGATGCTCTTTGGCATAGGCACGGTGCAGCCTCTCTCTTCCATATATGACCCACAATACTAAAGACAACATAACTGCTATTGCAACCATGAGCAGCCCATCATAGACTCGCTGGCTGTGCTTTCATAGGCCCGAACATTACTCAACTTGGACATCCGAGAATGTTTGTTGGACAAAGGTGCAATCTTGTAGGCCAAAAAGGAATGGGCCATATTGATACAAGTCGTAGCTCAGATTGACAGTGGCTGCCATCTGACCGTAGAGGCTTGGATTCAAACGTCCCGTGGTCATACAAATGCCGTTTGCTGATGCCTGGCACACATACCCACTCCAAACCTGCATCAACCCGACCCAAGTCACGCACATCAAAATCATAAATTGTTACTAGATATATAATTTATATATATATATATAAATTCACCTGGGTGGCATTGTTGAGATCCACCTCGCCAGGGGAACATGCTCCCTCGGTTAGGTCACGATTAAACGGGTTGCAGAGGGCTGGCAGAAGCGGACCCGATTGGTTGTAGTATAAATTCACAAAGTTGGGAGCAAAATTGATGTTGGAGACATTAGTGATAACCGTATTAATCAAATCGACTAACTGAGATGTTACTTCTTTGCTTCTGTTCAACGTGTCCTCAGCAGTGCTTTTATCCACGCACGCCAGTATATCGTCTAGAGTTGTTTGAGCTGTCGGGTTTTGATTCCACTGATTCATTGCTACGCAGGTGTCTCCCGTCACACTAAATGTCATCAACCAATCAGGACTGTCAGATGGATATTTTAACTAGTGCTCACAATCATGTGATAATAACATAAATTCTTCGTATAGCTTAACATACTTGTGGAGAAGAAGAAAAATGCCACAGAGTATGAATGTTCCAGTCACAAGAATCCATCCAGTAATCACCAAGCTGCATCCATAATTCAATTCATATTGACTTTAAAAAAAAATCTTTCTTCTTTATTTTTGAGTGTGAGTATGAAGCAGTTGTAAACCACTCTACTAGTCACTCACATGTACACAGGTATCTGCATGCCAAACATTGAAAAAGCTGAAAAAGAAAAGGAAAGTGAACAGAATAAAATAATATTACCAGGAGTAAGTTGTGTAAAGGAAAGAAGAATAGGCATACCGAATCCCAGAAAAGTGAGAATAAGCATAGTAGCAGAGAGTATGATAAGAGCCAATCTCCTGCAAGATCAAATTTATTGTATCACTTATTTCAACAACACTGCTTATTTTGGGGCGTCTGCTTACACTGATTCTATCAGGTTCTTTATTTTTTTGGAATTGTCGTGCGTTTGTTCGGATAGAGTACGAGCTGCAGAGTCAACATTGGTTTGGATCTGATCAATATCTGTTTGGACAGTTGGAGGCAGAGACACTTGACCAACCATATTAATCTGCTTGGCCTCCGAAAAATATTGCGACACATTCCTAAGATTGTTGGATATGCCATCTGCCTGATGGACCACATATTCCAAAGTGCTGTTTGTACTACTGTGAAATTTGTCTTGCCTGACGTACAACACAACACATCCAATCCTGAAAAACAAACAAGGTATGTAAATATTTTTTTGCTACTAATAATACACCATTATGTGTTTGTTGGAGAGAGAGAGAGAGAGAGAGAGAGAGAGAGAGAGAGAGAGAGAGTGAGGTGTACATTGCAATGACGGTAAAGAGAAGGAAGAAAATGTGAGAGAGCGCATAAGCAATCCCGGAATACCCATATGGCTCCTTTCGACAGCATCAGTAGCAGAGGCAGATGAGAGACAAGCAAAGCCCAAATGAGACAAACCAGAATAAGGCAATAACGAAAAAAGGAACTGCTGTGTAGCCGACAGACTGCAATGCAACGGTAAAATAAGAAACCTGTCAAACTATAAAACATACATCAAACACTCGTGAGTATCAGCCACTAATGCCACCCAAAAGAAACTCAATTAATATAGATACTGGAGAAAAAAGTGAAATGTGCAATTTGTTGGACCAAAAAAGCATTTGGTCTCATTTCTGTTCATTATGGCCCTGCTACGCTATTCTGATGTTTAGTCTTTTGACGCTCAAAGCAGATGAATGTACATAAAACATAATCCTTTTAGTAAGCAAAGCAGAAGGAGAAGAATTAAGAGTGTTAAGAAAAAAAGACTTACAGCCCAATAATGGCGGTTGCTAATGTTCCAGCCTCCGGTGTACCTTGTAAAGCCGTTGAGAGGGTCTTTACGGTAACTCCTCCTTGGAGCCAACACAAGCACTGCTTGTTGCTCGTACGACCAATATCTTGGTAATGATTGGCGCTGATCAGACACGCTATCTATCTTCTCGCTCGGTCGTCCTACCTGTCCGGCCCATTTTACAGCCTTTCTCTTCACGATCCCAGATAGATTTAAATTGTTAATTTAATTTCCCTGACCGTTCGGTCTCTACCCCGTACACACGCGCGCGCACATAATTGTTTTTTTTCTTTGTAAAATATTGCTCACCCTATAAACACGTAATCGCAACACAATTTTTTTTTTTTTGTAAAATATTGCTCAAAATTAAAATTAGTCATATCCATCTAAACCTGCTCAGGTAGCGAGACCAGCTAACTAACATACCGTTCCAGCTACAGGGTTCCTTCTTGTTTCTTGCGTCCCGTCAGACTTAATCAAGGTAATCTGAGAGGAATTTTGCTTTATTAATTGGACATTGATCTGTCACATACCATAACATTTATACTATTGTTTTTGGTTCGGACATTGATTTTTTAGATTGATATGGATTTGATGGACTTTATTAGAAAGTCACACAGAGATGTCGGCGATGCCAGACACACGCAAACCTCATCGGCCGGCGCGGACACCACGATCACACACCAATCTTCTCTAAAACCTTATAAAATATCGGAAATTTGTGCAAGAGATGTTAGGATATTACAAGTTTTTCTTTTTCTTTTCTCTTCGTCGAATGCGAACAAGTTGTTCGATGAAATGTCGAATTGACACTTGTTTGGTTTTGCCTCCAAAACTGAAGAGCTTATGTGAATTACACATTATTTTTAAAAGCGCAATTTAGTGCGCTACATAGCACGAAATAACGTAAATTTGTTCGAAAACGCGCCATTGCGTCTGTAGTTTTGCGTAGTTCCAACCATGCGTACGCTTTTGACGACGTGGCACGCAGTTTACGCGATAGCGTACGTTATTTACGCTATAGCTTATATTACACATGCTATTTGGGACCCTTAATTAGTTTCCAATTTTTATAGGCAGAAAAAAAATAAAAAAAAAAGTGAAAAACAAAATCGAAGGCAACGAAAGTCACAGTCAGAATTCACGAAACCCTCGTTTCACTTCTCTTCATCATCTCCCTCTCTTCCCTCCACCGCAGCCTCCACATATACACCACAGCTCGGCGAGAGTAGGAACTCCGCCGCCTCCACGGCTCCACCTCAGCCTCCTCATAAGCTTCTTCTCACATCGTCTGGTTCCTCGACTCTCTCTCGCCCCCCGCCCGACTATCGGCATCCCCAAAGTCCCTTCTCTCGGCTCTCTGTACCCTACATCCCCTGCTCCTCGACTTTCGACTCCAAAGGTGTCATTTTGTTTTTCATTTGAGATTATGAATAGCTTCACAAAACTTCAATTGAATTTGGGCTCTTCTAGTGAATGATTTAGATTTTTTTCTTTAATTGGAATGATTATTTATTAAATTAATAGAGTGGGATATAAGGATTGATTGAGCTGTATGTTTTTAGGATTGCATTTTTTTGATGTGTATTTGCCTATTTGCTGACTTGTTGGTTGGTCTGATGGCTTTTTTTTTTTTTTTTTTTTTTTTTTTTTTATGATTCTAGTTCATAGAAGTATAAAACATATGCAACTCTGTTTAATTTGATGATTCTATTTTTTCTCAAGAATATGCAGCTCTGTTTTATTAGTCAATAGAATTAGTACTCAGTATGGAACATATAAGACGATTATTAGTGGAAATCTCCCACACTTTGATAGTATTGACTATGATAGCTAAATTCAATTGGATGAGACCGATTTACTTTGTAGATTATGACTTTGGGTTGTTTGTATGAACTAATATATTAAATGTTTTTTAGATTTAATGTCCAAGTTTATGATTTAAGTCTATTTCAATTATTTATTTACTTGCATGGTTATATATATTATTACTATTTTTGGCATTAAAAGTGAACTGCTCGAAAAGCTTACGCAATGACACTCGAATTACCTATGGGGTTCATACTCAACATGCTTTTCTTAGAGTCTGGTCGATTGTCTCAATCTCACTGTTAAAAAATTTCGTTTCCTTTTACTCACAGGTAAAGCAAGGACCATCAAATGTCGAGCTATCTGTGGAGGAAATATGCACTATACGTGACCACCAAGTGGGAGAGGACCCTTCTGTGGGACATGATCGAGCCCTACAGGCGGCCTAAGTCTTTTACGCCTCTTGTCACCATTTATAACTGTGCTTTTTACACAGGGGTCATTGGTGCTGCAATCACTGAGCAACTCTACAAGGTGAAGCTGCAACATTTTGTCCGATTTTTCAGAAAAAAATTAGAACTTGATATTTACTTGGATATATTACTGGCTTTACTATCTAAACTTCGAATTTCTAATTATGTATGCTTCTACAGTTCATAAAGGGTGTTGCTTGTGTAGTAAGGAATATTTGAGAATTTTTGAATCTTTTTAGGATGTTGTGCTTTCGTCATTATTAGAATGTTGGAAATTAGACTGGTATACTGTCATTTTGTATGCATTGTCTTGCGAATGGCGCTTTTCTTGATTTATGTTGGCAAAGTTTTATGTTTCATTACTATGTTTGGTATTTTTTACGTAAGTAGTATTAAGGCATAACTACTCCATACCACTACAAGTTTACCGAGAACCCATAATGATTGGTCGATCAGCACAAAGTGCATGAGTAATATCATGGTTGATCAGAAAAGCCTTTCTCTTAATTCGTCCAGCATTGACAAAAGCTGAGAGTTTCTTGTGTAGTAAATAAATATGTTCTGCAACTCGTTTTACTAGCTGATATGTTTTAGTTATTTCCTTCTGCCTGCCTTGGTTTTTATTCAGGAGAAATATTGGGAAGATCACACTGGACATGAAGTTCCAATAATGAAGCCAATGTTTTATAGTGGGCCCTGGCGTATTATGAGAGGTGAAGTTCCTCGTTATTTGGAGGAGCCGCCAAAGCAGACGCCATCGTAGCCTTTTTTGTGTGCTTGTGAAATGAGGGATTTTGTTAATGTTGAACGGACAATGTACTCCTTGGTTTAATTGTAATGTTATTCATGATCTGTATCCTATTTGTGCTCATCAACGTCGAGCAAGTTGAGGATAGCACATTGATCAATGTTCATATTTTCACACAAATTGAACTGTCTTTGGGATTTCAATGATTTTGAGAGGATGAACTTATTTATTAGGGACTCGTTTAATTCCTTTAGGGATTCGTTTCATCATCATTAAATACGCATTATATGGTCTTTATGAGATTCTCAATAAAATTAGAGTGCTCAAATCCCCATATTTCCCATTTTATATTTAAGCAATTCTTTATTATTTTTGGTAAAAATCGACTACCGATACAAAATTTGTTGCGTTTTGTAGAAACACAATTATGCATTTCATCCACGGATTAAAATGGATAAATGCAAATTCAATTTGCGTTTGCATGCCCATTTGAGTTAGTTTTTCTGTTTGAATTTGCGAATGCATGTCCATTGGACCGATTGGAGTTGCTTTTTTCGTTTTGAGTTTGCAAGACGCTCTAAGTCCTAAAACTTGCACAATGAAGGAATTAAACGAGTCCCTAATAAATAAGTTCATCCTCTCAAAATCATGGAAATCCCAAAGATAGTTCAATTTGTGTGAAAATATGAACATTGATCAATGTGCTATCCTCAACTTGCTCGACGTCGATGAGCACAAATAGGATACAAATCATGAATAACATTACAATTAAACCAAGGAGTACATTTTCCGTTCAACATTAACAAAATCCCTCATTTCATAAGCACACAAAAAAAAAAGGAAACCTACGATGGCGTCTGCTTTGGCGGCTCCTCCAAATAACGAGGAACTTCACCTCTCATAATATGCCAGGGCCCACTATAAAACATTGGCTTCATTATTGGAACTTCATGTCCAGGGTGATCTTCCCAATATTTCTGCTGAATAATAACCAAGGCAGGCAGAAGGAAATAACTAAAACATATCAGCTAGTAAAACGAGTTGCAGAACATATTTATTTACTACACAAGAAACTCTCAGCTTTTGTCAATGCTTGACGAATTAAGAGAATGGCTTTTCTAATCAACCATGATATTACTCATGCACTTTGTGCTGATCGACCAATCATTATGGGTTCTCGGTAAACTTGTAGTGGTATGGAGTAATTATGCCCTAATACTAATTACGTAACAAATACCAAACATAGAAATGAAACATAAAACTTTGCCAACATAAATCAAGAAAAGCGTCATTCGCAAGACAATGCATACAAAATGACAGTATGCCAGTCTAATTTCCAACATTCTAATAATGACGAAAGCACAACATCCTAAACAGATTCAAATATTCTCAAATATTCCTTACTACACAAGCAACACCCTTTATGAACTGTAGAAGCATACATAATAGAAATTCGAAGTTTAGATAGTAAAGCCAATAATATATCCAAGTAAATATCAAGTTCTAATTTTTTTTTGAAAAATCGGACAAAAACCTGCAGCTTCACCTTGTAGAGTTGCTCAGTGATTGCAGCACAAATGACCCCTGTGTAAAAAGCACTGATATAAATGGTGACAAGAGGCGTAAAAGACTTAGGCCGCCTGTAGGGCTCGATCATGTCCCACAGAAGGGTCCTCTCCCACTTGGTGGTCACGTATAGTGCATATTTCCTCCACAGATAGCTCGACATTTGATGGTCCTTGCTTTACCTGTGAGTAAAAGGAAACAAAATTTTTTTAACAGTGAGATTGAGACAATCGACCAGACTCTAAGAAAAGCATGTTGAGTATGAACCCCATAGGTAATTCCAGTGTTTTAAAATGCAAATCGCGCATCGCGTCTCGTTTTGGTCCTTATATTGCGTAGCGTAAATAGCGTAGCACATTGCGTAAGCAATTTGAGCAGTTCACTTTTAATGCCAAATATAATAATAATATATATAACCATGCAAGTAAATAAATAATTTAAATAGTCTTAAATCATAAACTTGGACATTAAATCTAAAAAACATTTAATATATTAGTTCATACAAACAACCCAAAGTCATAATCTTCAAAGTAAATCGGTCTCATCCAATTGAATTTAGCTATCATAGTCAATACTATCAAAGTGTGGGAGATTTCCACTTATAATCGTCTATATGTTCCATACTGAGTACTAAGTCTACTGACTAATAAAACAGAGCTGCATATTCTTGAGAAAAAATAGAATCATCAAATTAAATAGAGTTGCATATGTTTTATAATTCTATGAACTAGAATCATAAAAAAAAAAAGAAGCCATCAGACCAACCAACAAGTCAGCAAATAGGCAAATACACATAAAAAAATGCAATCCTCAAAACATACAGCTCAATCAATCCTTATATCCCACTCTATTAATTTAATAAATAATCATTCCAATAAAAAAAAAATCTAAATCATTCACTAGAAGAGGCCCAAATTCAATTGAAGTTCTGTGAAGTTATTCATAATCTCAAATGAAAAACAAAATGACACCTTTGGAGTCGAAAGTCGAGTAGCAGGGGATGTAGGGTACAGAGAGCCGAGAGAAGGGACTTTGGGGATGCCGATAGTCGGGCAAGAGGCGAGAGAGAGAGTCGAGGAACCAGACGATGTGAGAAGAAGCTTATGAGGAGGCTGAGGTGGAGCCATGGAGGCGGCGGAGTTCCTACTCTCGCCGGGCTGTGGTGGATATGTGGAGGCTGCGGTGGAGGGACGAGAGGGAGATGATGAAGAGAAGTGAAATGAGGGTTTCGTGAATTCTGACTGTGACTTTCATTGCCTTCGATTTTGTTTTTCATTTTTTTTTTTCTGCCTATAAAAATTGGAAACTAATTAAGGGTCCCAAATAGCATGTATAATTTAAGCTATAGCGTAAATCACGTACGCTATCACGTAAATTGCGTGCCACGTCGTCAAAAGCGTACGCTTTGTTGGAACTACGCAAAATTACAGACACAATGGCACGTTTTCGAACAAATTTACGTTATTTCGTGCTATGTAGCGCGCTAAATTGCGCTTTTAAAAATAATGTGTAATTCACATAAGCTCTTCAGTTTTTGGAGGCAAAACTAAACAAGTGTCAATTCGACATTTCATCGAACAACTTGTTCGCATTCGACGAAGAGAAAAGAAAAAGAAAAACATGTAATATCCTAACATCTCTTGCACAAATTTCCGATATTTTATAAGGTTTTAGAGAAGATTGGTGTGTGATTGTGGTGTCCGCGCCGGCCGATGAGGTTTGCGTGTGTCTGGCGCCGCCAACATCTCTGTGTGACTTTCTAATAAAGTCCATCAAATCCATATCAATCTAAAAAATCAATGTCCGAACCAAAAACAATAGTATAAATGTTATGGTATGTGATAGATCAATGTCCAATTAATAAAGCAAAATTCCTCTCAGACTACCTTGATTAAGTCTGACGGGACGCAAGAAACAAGAAGGAACTCTGTAGCTGGAACGGTATGTTAGTTAGTTGGTCTCGCTACCTGAGCAGGTTTAGATGGATATGACTAATTTTAATTTTGATTAATATTTTACGAAAAAAAAAAAAATTGTGTTGCGATCGCGTGTGTATAGGGTGAGCAATATTTTACAAAGAAAAAAAACATTATGTGCGCGCGCGTGTGTACGGGGTAGAGACCGAACAGTCAGGGAAATTTAAATTAACAATTAAAATCTATTCGGGATCGTGAAGAGAAAGGCTATAAAATGGGTCGGACAGGTAGGAAGACCAAGCGAGAAGATAGATAGCGTGTCTGATCAGCGCCAATCATTACAAAGATATTGGTCGTACGATACGCATTAAATGCGCCAATCATTACCAAGAACAATAGAGTTGTGTGAAATGGAACTTAATTTTGATATAAACATGAATTCATTTAAAGTTGACTAATTAAGAGGGGAACTGATGGCTATTCTTGTTAACAAGTCAAACAATTGAAACAACAATGCCATCTGCTTGAAATGTTGTGCTGCATACAGAGAGGCTAAATCCATGGTTGTAGATTATTAGATTTCTTATATCTCTTCCTCTACAAAGAACTCAATCAATCCATGAATATGATCTTGATGAAAATTTGATAATTAGCCTTATGCCCAGTGAACCTGATCATAGAAGTCCATTTAATTTGCATACAAGATCCACCCACCATAGCCTTTTGAAACAGGCACAAAGTACTATCTACACATAATTTTCAAAGTACAAATACATGAAGAAATATCTGGGATTAACAATAATTTGGATTAAGAAGGGACCATGCATGAGTTTGAAACTTGAAAACTATTTCTCCATCTTATGCTCACGACCTTCCGGCAATTTTTCTCAAGTGGCTTGTTGGTGAGGAGAACTCTGATATATCAACTCCTTCTGTTCTTTCAGTCTAGTAGTATTTTTACATAAGAGTTTAAATGGAGAGATCAGGGGACGTGGGCCCTTTGGTTTGGACTGTAAATCCTTCCGGAGTGAGTGGTTCGATTCCACTTTATTAGCTTTACTATGATGCTTTTTGGTATAGGCACGGTGCAGCCTCTCTCTTCCATATATGACCCACAATACTAAAGACAGCATAACTGCTATTGCAACCACGAGCAGCCCATCATAGACTCGCTGGCTGTGCTTTCGTAGGCCCGGACAATACTCAACTTGGACATCCGAGAATGTTTGCTGGACAAAGGTGCAATCTTGTAGGCCAACAAGGAATGGGCCATATTGATACAAGCCGTAGCTCAGATTGACAGTGGCTGCCATCTGACCATAGAGGCTTGGATTCAAACGTCTTGTGGTCATACAAATGCCGTTTGGTGATGCCTGGCACACATACCCACTCCAAACCTGCATCAACCCGACCCAAGTCACGCACATCAAAATCATAAATTGTTACTATATATATAATTTATATATAATATATATATATATATATATAAATTCACCTGGGTGGCATTGTTGAGATCCACCTCGCCAGGGCTACATGCTCCCTCGGTTAGGTCATAATTAAGCGGGTTGCAGAGGGTCGGCAGAAGCGGAC